ATATATTTTTGTTTGTTTTAGTTTGCATAATTATAATTAATATGGCATTTTCTTTGAAAAAAATGTTTGGTGTTAAGGGAAAATCTAAAATTGGTGAATCTAGTCGCCAAGCTACTACCCTTCCCCCGGCTCCCCGACCCAGACATGTTACCCGCCCTTCTGCACCTATTATTCTTGATAGTGATAAACCTTGTTTTCAATTTTCCGATAGTGAATTTTGCCATGATGTTGCACCAGGTCAACAATTAAATGATGAAGTTATGAATGCTCTTTATCCTAATGAAACTATTTTTGAAAATGATGCTGAAAATGATGATATAGATGAAACCCAACCGGATTTAGATGATACACCTACTAGTCCTGTTAATAACCCAACCGATGCCCCGCCCGACCCACCTGTGGAAACCCCTACTTTTAATAGACAACCTTCTAAACACCCCGAAACATCACTTGTTTGAATTTTTTTTACTCATTAAGAGAACAAAATAAGGCTAAGTGCAAAACTTGTGGGAGTTTGCTGGCGCATAAATTTACTGGAGACCGTAGCGGTACGGGTAGTTTGACTAGGCACATAAAAACACACCCTAGAGATAAAGCTAAGTTTTTCAAATGAAGCGCAGCTAGAGGGGACAAGTGTAGATACTACGGTTAACCCTAGTACAGGTTCAAATCTAGTTCAACCAGGAATTAACACTGTGACCGGAGGTATTTTATATTACGATCCAAATAAAGATCGTGAAGAATTAGCAAAGATGGTTACCGTTATGTGCTTACCCTATACTTTTCCTTCTAATCCTAATTTTGTGCATTATATTAGAAAAGTTTTTAATCCTACTTATATAGGTTGGCCTCGCGCAACAGTTAAGAGCGATATTTATAAATATAAACATGAATATGAACAATATTTGCGGTATTTATTTACTCATATAACTAATCGGATTTCTATTACTACTGATATTGGTAGAAGTAATAATGACTGTGATTATCTAACTGTTACAAGTCATTGGATAGATGAGGAGTGGATAATGCAAAAACGCATTATTGCATATAGAATAATTAATTCACGGCACACAGGTAAGTTTATTGCTAACACTGTTACAGATATTTGTAGATATTTTTGCATTAGAGATAAAATAATGGCAATTTCTATGGATAATGCTTCTAGTAACACTAATGCTATAGGCTTGCTTACAACAACACTAAATCTTGCATTTAGTAATTGTTTCTATGTTAGATGTGTTTGTCATATTTACCATTTAATCGTCGGTGATGGTATGAGAATTTTAAACTTAGTAATTGAAAAGGTTAAATTGGCTCTTAATTGGCTTTTTTATTCAAACCGTAGAAGTAGACTTAGAGAGTATTTTAAAAAATATGATGAATTTGGCCTTAGAGAAAGAAAGGTTCCTAAAGCTTGTCCGACTAGATGAAATTATATGTACGAAAGTTTAGTAGTTGCATATGAATATAGAAACCCAATTAATGCAACGTTTAATGCTCGTGTTGGTGGTGAGGGTGATGATGAAATCCTTACAAATCAAGATTGGAATAATGTAAAAATTCTTATAGATTTTTTACACCAATTTCATCAAGCTACAAAAATTGTCTGGGCAATATTATCCTACTATTTCAAACTGTTTAGTTTATATTGCAGCACTATGTGATTTGTTTGTTGATTTTTAGAGGGTGGAAAAATTTATCAACTTGCTATAAATATAATGAAAGAAAAGTTTAAAAAATATTTTTTCCCTATCCCCCCTATTTATGGTGTTGCTGCCATGTTAAATCCTACAATGAAATTAGGAGGTCCTCACTTTTGGTATTCAAATATTTATAAGGCTTTAGATCTTTCAAAAGAGGAATTTGCTACACTTGCAGAGGCAAAAGCCTCAATTAAAATAAATGCTCAAACAATTTATAATGCTTATCAACAAGCCTTAGATAATGCTAGGCCAAATGTTTCAACTCCTACTTCGTCTAGTTCACAATCGTCTAAAAGACCTGCGGGCCTAAAAGCACTTAGTTCTTGAACGGAGTTTAGGGGTTCTCAAGGTGATAATATTGATGATACTTCACATCTAAATAAACTTCAAGTTTATTTGTCACAGGGCCTTGAAAAGGAGAATCCAAACGGCACCTTTGATCTTTTGGAATGGTGGAAGGCAAGAGAAAAATATTTTCCGGTTCTTGCAAGGATGGCTCGGGATATTTTATGTACTCAAGCTTCAACAGTGGCATCAGAGAGCGCTTTCAGTCAAGCAAGACTTCAAATAGGTGATCATAGAGCGTCTATGAGGGAGAGCTTGGAAAAATCAGTACTATTCAGAGATTGGATCCGCTCGGAAAGAAGAAATTTTGGACTTGCAGAATCACAACCGGAGATAGACGAAGCTTATGAAGAAATGATAGCGGAACTTGCGGAGGATGTTGCTTCGCCCGGAAGCGGTGATGAACAAGCTTCTTTTCCACCACCACCAACGGAACCTCCTCCGAACCTTGAAGGATTTATGAAATTTGTTAGAGATACTATGTAGATTATGGTGTAACTTGTACTTTGGCACATCTTCTTTAATTTTTTTTCCTTTTAATGGTGGTATTAGCACCTTGTTGTGCTCATTCCATTGGGGGAGGAAGACTAAGAAAGATATTGCCATTTTTGTTAATGTCGTGATAATAAAAATTATAAGACATTCCCTTGAATATCTCTTTGCAATATTTTTTTGTCTTTAAATTTGACTCTTTAGAAGATTTAACTTACAATATCTATATAAGCTATAATATATATTATAAGAAATTATATAAGAAAATATATATACATAACATACTATATATACTATATATATATATATATATATATATATATATATATATATATATATATATATATATATATATATATACTATACAAACTATATATACTATATATAATACATATAAGCTCTAAATAAGGCATTATATATTTATATAGCCATGTATAAGCAATTTATATTAGTATATACATATATAGTTTACAAGAAATTGCCTTTAATTAAAAAAAGTAAAAAAAATAGCCCGGAACGAAAAAGCCCGTCAGGCCCGTGGGCCCGCCCCCATTTAGCCCGGGACCATGTGGGCTTAGGACTGTCGTGGGCCGGTTCCACCCGTTGAGACCGTGAAGCCCGGGACCGCCAAAGACCGGCCCGCCTAAGCCCGGCCCTGTTTGGCCCGGCTCGTTTGGTCCGTTTAGGCGCAGTCCCAGCCCAGAATATACCCTTACTATCAACCACCACTCTACACCAACACCACTAATCACCACTATCAATCGTCTTCATTACCAGCCTCCACCCCAATTATCACCATCAACCATATCCACCACTAATTACCATTATCAATCACCTCTACTACTAATCCGATTGCACAACCACCCAACTAACCACGCTCACTGCTAGCCATGACCATTAGCCAACACGACACATTCGCTTCTGGCCACCATAACAAATAACTACTACTATCAACATACTCTACCAATATCATCTTATAACAACCATCATAGCCGATCAGCCCTGTCGCCAGTTGCATTGCCGCTAATTTTTAGGGTGTGGTTCATCAAAGAAATTTTTTTATACACCATGTGAATTAAAAAGTTTTCTAATATTTTTTAAAAATAATATATATTATAATTTATGTTTATTGGTTTTTAAATAAAAATAAATAATTACATTCAGATGCTGTGAAAAATACTCAACTACCCAGTATTCAGATCTTCATCTTCCAAAACAAACATGGCCTTAGACCTTGATATTAGTTGTTAAGGTCTGCGCGCAAACTTTGAAATTAGGAGTATGTTCACTGTGATCCTATTTTAGAATCTAGCTTCAGATTTATATAAATCTTTTTCATGTTTTATTTTCCACCCCATCTCATTCTTGCTTGTATCATCTTGGTTTGGCAAAGCATTGCAAAGGGAGAAATTAAAAAATAGCCAGATTTATAAGTGGTCGTTCAAAAATAGCCTAGTTTCAAAAGTAATCGAAATTTAGCCACTTTTCATGTAAAGATAAATCTGAGCGAAAACACTGTTCAAAATTCGGAAAATACGCCAGTATATTATGCTGGAGTTCCAGCTCTAACATAAGTACACTAGAACTCCAGCATAATATACTGGAGTTCCAGCAAAGTATACCAGTCCAGTATAATATGCTGGAAGTTCATACACAAATGCTCGAATTTCTAGAATATTATGCTGGAACTTTCCGTGTGTTGGAGTTCCAGCATAATATGCTGGAAGTTCATACACAGCTGCACCGAACTCCAGAATATTTTGCTGGACCTGTCTCTGTTGTAGCAAAATAGTGGCTATTTTTCATTGACTTGGTAAACGCTGGCTATTTTTGAATGACCAGTCCGAAAACTGGCTAGACCGTACTATTTTTACCATTGCAAACCTCATCCAAGAGAAACGTAATATGGACTCAAAAGCCCATGGGATCTTTACACAAATAGCCATCTATATTAATTAGTTAATATCTTTTAGTCATATACTCCCCCGTTCACTTTTACTTGGCATGTATACTAAAAGTAGATTTTTATTTTTACTTGTCACTTTACGCATACATCAATTAATATGGGTATCATGATAAATTATGTACTTCATTTATTATTTTTTAAGGGGCGTGAAAAGTCAAAACGTGCCGAGTAAAAGTGAACGGTGGTAGTACATAAAATATATATTGATTATAAATAACTATATATATCTAATACATAATTATGCTTATATTATACATTCATCGGCTATATTTAGTTTAACTGATAGGGTGAACGGCTATTTGAGTTAATTCTTCGACTTGGAGCTGAAACCCAATACAAGATAATGGGCTTAATTTATTAAAAGCCCATTATTGGGCAACTTAGTCTGTGACACAGATTACATTGCAGCCCAGCCCAATAGAGTGGTGCGTGGGCCCGGGTAACGCGAGATGAGAATCGTAACGTTTGGCTATGTGTCTCCCTCTCAGCCTCTCTCCCGCCATTCCTTAAAACACCGTAAAAACCATTACCAAAAATCAAAGCTTTGAAAATGGCAACTATTTTATCGACAACACCAATTGCAATTCGATTATTCTCTTCAAATTCACAGCGTTATCCGGTACTTTCTTCGCATTTTCAAGTCTCAATCTTTACCTTTTTAATTGCTTCATCATTCATTGTTTTTCTTTCATCTTAAATTGCAGTGTTACTTGCATAGAGCAATGAGAACTGGGCAAACAGGGATTCACATTCAGAAGCATTATCAAATTTCTTTCATATTCAACAAGAGGTTGGCAAAATATCTCTTTCATTTGTATTCCTTTCGTACAACTTTTAAGAATTCAAATTGATTTAGATAGTCACATTATAAACTTTGATGTGATATTTCTCTATAAAACTAACATTTCAATTTATATACAAGTATTATTCTCCACTATCACTGTACTATTATATAAGTCAAAATAAATGTCTTAGATATTTTCATTTTGAAGGAAATTTTTACTTGTTAAGACAATTTAGTGAAGTTCAAATACTTTTCCGTTTTGTATAGGTGAAATGTATACTAATCATCATGTTAATTGTTTGGATATATTAAGCAGGAAAAAATTGATACGTGCAGTCAGTAAAGATGCTGAGGAATCTTTCAAAAAGACTGTGGAGGTGGATAAGCTTATAGATACACTGAGGGAGGCAAGTGATAAGGAAGTAAGTAAATCTGCTCTCAATTTTCTTCAAGGCTTTCTCCATTAGCATATCTCAGCTGCTCTCGATTTCTTTTTATAACCGTGATGTTTGGGCAATTTGCATGCAGCTTGACTAATCTACCTGTTACGTGCTACCTCCCATTGTATGTAACTCTATCTACCAAGGCTCAAACAAATGAGAAGAAAGCACCTAATGTCTTTTATCTCTATAGGGATTTAAACCGTGGTCTCCCCATGGTCCATTCGTGCTTGCTCCTGATTCAGTAATTCACGTAAGAGTAATAACTAATAAGACCACAAGTAGAAAGGTAATCCTACCAAAAGATGTACACCTGCGAAATATCACAGCAGTAAGACCAGTAATTACTCGATGACTACGAGAATAATTGCTTTGTGCTAGTTCTTACCTAGATATGCCTCTGATTTGCATTCAATTAAAGCATTCTGAGTGACTACTGCTGATTAGTTGGCAAGATAGCTAATAATGTACTGTGTACCTGCAGCAGCTTCTAGTTTGCAGCTGCAGCTGCAGCAGCTTCTACCTGCATTCAATTGCATGCAATGTCTTGTCAGTTTCAAAAGAATATAGCAATGTTATTGTCAATCATGAGGCTGCTAGTGTAGTTGCGAGTTCTTTTGTATCAATTAGTTTGTTTCTGTCTCTTAGTTGGGGAATTCTGGTCAAGCCCTCTCTTTTCTTTTCCAATATAGTGGGCCTAGTTTTTTTCTGTGTAGTGCAATTTGTTGGATTATAGATTTGATTATCCTGATAAGCTCTCTATTGTTGTGAATCTGAACATGCTATGATACCCTTAAAGAGCTATTAAATAAATTGCTATACTAGTCAAAGTTGAGACCATTTTCTGTATCTCAGCTTTGATCTACATTGATGAAAATTTTCCTTTATCATTCTCTGTATTATGGTTGCAGCTGCCACAGCTAGTTGTGGAGAACGTTCTCGCTTTCAACGAGAGCTTTTGGATAAGACTTGCAGCTAGAGCAGACACCTGCAAGTCTGACGATGACAAAGCACGGTTCCATTTCTTATTATTTTCAGCTGGTTTATGCTTCATGAATTCTTTCAACTTCCAGAATAAGCTTTGTCGACTTTCTTTTACAGAAAGACTACGAGGAGCTGGCGTTGTCGGTAATGAACATCGTAGATCGTCTTGTTCACAAGACAAAAGTATATATTCTATCTCCCTTCCTATTGTCCAATTAGTGTGAAGTCTCATGGAAAAACCCACGCCACACTTGAAATTCCTTTTAGTGTCATTATGCATACCTTATATTTGCCACTTGATCAATTAAAAATAACGAATAGCAAAGCAAAGAACAGAAAATTTATTGAGAATTTCCATATGATAAGATTTGAGTGTAGGATGTGTTATTTTTCTTCTTCCATGTTCCTCACCTCTCCACCTAGAAAGCACGCCACACTTTTTTTTTTTTTTTTTTTTTCGTTTTCTCTTTCTATTCTCAACCTTCATTTACCACTGCCACAGAAGGTCAGCTTGGTGCTTGTGACCACAAAAATACTTTTATGGTATGTATTTCATATGAGCAACAGCCAGTTTCTAATGGCATTTCTTCTCTCCCTGCAGGAAAAGATAGACTCGTCTACTGATGTGCTCAAAGCAATCCTAGAACCTGTGCTTGATGAAGTAGAAGAAATTTCTTGGCCTGTTAGGGATCCTGAGGCTCTCAGTCTTATGGAGAAAGTATGTCTTTTACATCCTGTCTAATTTGAGCTAGTTTTCACAGTGGACTATTTTGAAATGCCATGGCAGAGTCAAGACCTGAAGTGAACATCATCCCTCCTAAGTCAAAAGTAAGGGGGTGCAAGGAGGAGGTTGAGTAATAGAACTATGCTAGAGTTCTTACTTATTCAAAAGAAAAAAAAGTATGCTAGAGTTCTGTTCAGTGTTCATATATCTATTTACATAGATTTTTTTTTATTAAAACGATTTGCTTTCTTGGGCTTTGTGGCTATGTGTTATACCTGTTTTAGTTTACTTTAACATTCAGGAAATAAATCAAAGGGAGCAAGAAGGCCAACTTGATGAAGGGTTCCTCTCAGAAGTCAATGCACAGCTGCGGCAAGTGAGTCTTTTTGAGTGAATCTCACTGCCTAGTTCTCTTTTATGGTTTAAGTTTACTCTGGGTCTTTGTACTCTGGCATTGTGAGTTAGTTTAATGCATATTTTATTTTATTTGTCTTTCTCTCTTCTGGGAGTCAGGTTACCTTTGACTTGGAAAACCTTCCAGCTGAAATTGAAGATTCTAACTTGGACCCCAGAATACACTCTTTTATCTTTCATGTAGGCAAAAGGGTTGTCAAAAAAGATAGCAATCTGTTGGGTCAGCTTGCGAGACATGCCCGTTAAACAAAATGACTGTAATAGTAACAGACTAAAAGGATGCATAAATGGAATGAATGATAAATGGACCTTGGGCCTAACTCAACACCAAAAGCTAGCTTATGAGGTGAGGATTGCCCAAGACCATATAAGTAGACCAAGGACCTCAAATCCCTCCTCCGATGTGGGACAACTCAACACCGCCCCTCACGCCCAGGCCTGCAAACTGGAGCGTGGACAACATTGTTAGTTTCATTGTATAAATAGTAGTAAATAACCCTAATCCCATATGTATCAGGAGTATGACATGTATTGTATATATATATATGGCTCACAGTATCATTGTCATAATGAATCAATAATAATATTTTCTCCCGTGCATTCTCACATGGTATCAGAGCAACCGTGAGACATTTATCGTTGTGCGTCATTCCAGCGATATCCGGGAAGAAAGAACTCAGTCACCGTGCAATTTTCCGGTGACCTAAGTGACTAATTGCGTCAAAGTCACTAATTATCAGTGTTGTGCAAAATCCAACACCAACACAGGTTCCCAAGAGAGATCCGACCAAACCCCAGAAAAAATCACCGGAAAATAGCAAGCCACGCGCCGTCACGCGCCTGTCGGAGCTCTGCCGGCGGCGGCACGTTTGTCCCACGCGCCGGCGCGTTAGACCCCTTCCGGTCAGATTTTGAAAAAGTTTCTTCAGAACAACTTCATCTCCTTGCAATTCCGAGTCCATTGGTACTATTTCCGACAGATTCCGACAACTTTGCAATTTTCCGGCGAGCTACAGTGATTTTTCCGGCGTAAACAGTGATCCCCAGCAATTTCATGCTTTTTCCGGCACGATATTATAATGGAATTCGTACCTGAAGCCTTTAACTCACAATCCGTTGGATTAAATGCAATAAATCCAATCCAGATGGTTTCTTTACCAGATTATATTGAGTTCCTTCAGTACAAAGCACGTAAACAGACATCTTCAGGATTAACCTCCGTTGTTCCAACAAATAGTAGCATGACTGGTGTCTCCCATTCTTCACCTTCTGAGTCTTGGGTCATTGATTCAGGTGCATCTGATCATATTTCTGGTAACAAATCTCTTTTCACTAGTATCTCATATTCTCAATCTCTTCCAACAGTCACAATGGCCAATGGGTCTCAAGCCATGGCAACTGCAATAGGTCAAGCAAGTCCACTTCCTTCCTTACCTTTAGACTCGGTTCTTTATGTTCCTGGTAGTCCTTTTAATCTCATAGCCGTTAGTCGCTTAGCCAAATCACTTAAATCTGCTGTTTTATTTCTTGATGACCTTGTTTTTATACAGGAACGCAGTACAGGGCGGATCATTGGTACCGGGACGTGAATCGGATGGACTTTATTACCTTATCCTTGCAAAATCACATGGACTCACATCTTGTCTTCCTCCAATAACTTCTCCCGTTACTGATTCACCAGATTTATTACATAAACGGTTAGGACATCCCAGTTTGTCAAAACTTCAGAAAATGGTACCTGGCTTATCTCACTTGTCCACTCTAGAGTGTGAGTCGTGTCAGCTTGGTAAGCATACCCGCTCCCATTTCCCGCGGCGTCTTGACAATCGAGCAGAGTCACCTTTTACTTTAGTCCATTCAAATGTTTCTACCTTAGGATTCCGCTACTTTGTCAGTTTCATTGATGATTATTCCAGGTGCACTTGGATATTTTTGATGAAAAATCGATCTGAGTTGTTCTCTATTTTCCAGGCCTTCCATGCTGAAATTCAAAATCAATTTGGGGTTTCTATCCGCACATTTCGTAGTGATAATGCCCTAGAGTATTTGTCTTCCTCATTTCAACAATTTATGAACTCCCATGGGATTATTCATCAAACATCTTGTCCGTACACATCCCAACAAAATGGGGTAGCTGAAAGAAAGAATAGACATCTTATTGAAACTGCTCGTACCCTACTCATACAATCTCATGTTCCGCTGCGTTTTTGGGGGGATGCAGTTCTTACATCTTGTTATCTTATTAATCGTATGCCATCTTCAGCTATCCAAAATCAAGTTCCATTCTCTGTCCTGTTTCCCCACTTACCTTTGTTCTCTCTTCCACCCCGTGTCTTTGGGAGTACGTGCTTTGTTCATGACCTTACTCCAGGAAAAGATAAGTTAGCTCCTCGTGCTCTTAAGTGCATATTTCTGGGTTACTCGAGAACTCAAAAGGGATATCGATGTTATTTTCCTGACCTTCAGCGATTTCTTATGTCTGCTGATGTTACCTTCTTTGAAACCCAATCATACTTCACAGGTCCAGTTAATCACTTAGATTTTTCTGAGGTGCTACCTGTTCCTTCTTTTGGAGATTCAGTCCCTATCTCCCATTCATCTTCCTCCATTGCTCCACCGCCTACAGTTCCAGCTACAGCTCCACCACCTATAGCTCCAGTATCACCACCGAGTCCAGTGCCACCACCTAGTCCAGTTCCACCAACTATAGCTCCAGTGCCACCACCTAGTCCAGTTCCACCAACTATAGCTCCAGTGCCACCACCTAGTCGAGTTCAACCTTCTACAGCTCCACCACTCCTGACTTATCATCGTCGTCCGCCCCCAGTATCAGTCCCAGCTGATTCACGTCCTGCACCTGACCCTGCTAATACTGCGGACTTGTCTCCTCTTAATCAACCGATTGCACTACGAAAAGGTATACGGTCCACATTTAATCCTAATCCTCATTATATCGGTTTAAGTTACCATCGTCTCTCATCATCCCATTGTGCATTTGTGTCATCTTTGTCCTCTGTTTCCATTCCTAAGTCTACAGGTGAAGCACTGTCTCATCCCGGATGGCGACAGGCTATGATTGACGAGATGTCTGCTTTACATACGAGTGGTACTTGGGAGCTTGTTCCTCTTCCTTCAGGTAAATCGACTGTTGGTTGTCGTTGGGTGTATGCAGTCAAAGTTGGTCCAGATGGCCATGTTGATCGACTTAAGGCTCGTCTTGTTGCCAAAGGATATACTCAGATATTTGGACTCGATTACAGTGATACTTTCTCTCCCGTGGCTAAAATAGCATCAGTCCGCCTTTTTCTATCCATGACTGTTGTTCGCCATTGGCCTCTCTATCAGTTGGACATTAAGAATGCTTTTCTTCATGGTGACCTTGAGGATGAGGTTTATATAGAGCAACCACCTGGTTTTGTTGCTAAGGGGGAGTCTAGTGGCCTTATATGTCGGTTGCGCCGGTCCCTCTATGGTCTAAAGCAATCTCCTCGAGCCTGGTTTGGTAAGTTCAGCACAGTTATTCAGGAGTTTGGCATGACTCGTAGTGAAGCTGATCACTCTGTACTTTATCGACATTCTGCTTCAAATCTCTGTATTTATCTGGTCGTTTATGTTGACGATATTGTTATTACCGGCAATGATCAGGATGGTATTAGTAAGTTGAAGCAACATTTCTTTCAGCACTTTCAGACTAAGGATCTGGGCAGATTAAAGTATTTTCTGGGTATTGAGGTCGCTCAGTTTAGCTCAGGTATTGTGATCTCACAACGGAAGTATGCCTTAGATATTCTTGAGGAGACAGGAATGACAGGTTGTAGACCTGTTGATACTCCGATGGATCCGAATTCTAAACTTCTGCCAGGACAGGGGGAGCCTCTTAGCGATCCTGCAAGATATAGGCGGTTGGTTGGTAAATTAAATTACCTCACAGTGACTAGACCTGACATTTCCTTTCCTGTGAGTGTTGTGAGTCAGTTTTTGGATTCTCCCTGTGATAGTCATTGGGATGCAGTTGTCCGCATTCTTCGTTATATAAAATCAGCTCCAGGCAAAGGCTTATTGTTTGAAGATCGAGGCCATGAGCAGATCGTTGGATACTCAGATGCTGATTGGGCAGGATCACCTTCTGATAGACGTTCTACGTCTGGATATTGTGTCTTAGTAGGAGGAAATTTGGTGTCTTGGAAGAGCAAGAAACAGAATGTGGTTGCTCGGTCTAGTGCAGAAGCAGAATATCGAGCAATGGCTATGGCCACATGTGAGCTAATTTGGATCAAACAGTTGCTCAAGGAGTTGAAATTTGGTGAGATTAGTCAGATGAGACTTGTGTGTGATAATCAAGCTGCTCTTCATATTGCGTCAAATCCAATGTTCCATGAGAGAACTAAACACATCAAGATTGACTGTCACTTTGTTAGAGAAAAGATACTCTCGGGAGATATTGCTACAAAATTTGTGAAGTCGAATGATCAACTTGCTGATATTTTCACCAAGTCCCTCACTGGTCCTCGTATTAGTTATATATGTAACAAGCTCGGTACATATGATTTATATGCACCAGCTTGAGGGGGAGTGTTAGTTTCATTGCATAAATAGTAGTAAATAACCCTAATCCCATATGTATTAGGAGTAGGACATGTATTGTATATATATATGGCTCATTGTATCATTGTCATAATGAATTAATAATAATATTTTCTCCCGTGCATTCTCACATAAATGGGGGCCCAACATCGATAACGATAATTGGGATGGGCCGCTCTGATACCATAATAAATGCACTTTGGGCCTAACTCAACCCCAAAAGCTAGCTTATGAGGTGAGTATTGCCCAAGACCATATAAGGAGACCAAGGACGTCAAATCCCTCCGATGTGGGACAACTCAACATGGAACATATGTCAATTTTGGTATATGAATTTACAAGGACCTAGAAAGATTCTAAATAGTTATCTGGATATATTGTTCCAAACACATACTCCTCCCTGCTGGTCTTGCCTTTATCGGATTTCGTTTAACTGAAACAAAGTGTACTCTTGAAAATAGAAAGGGTCTCCCTTCCCCGTCACGGCCTCCCTCTTCTAATACTCTTCATTCGTCAGACTCACTTACTCATCTTTTATTGTGTTCCCTGACGACTTTCTTAACAGTAAATTCAGCCCCTTCTTAGTTTTGGAACTTGTTCTTCTCCCTATTCGGTTTAACAGTAAATGAAATTGTTCTTTTCTTAACAGTAAATGATTTTAAGCTTGAGTTGGCAAACAAAGTTTTCAATTCACAAGCAAACTCTGTTTATTTGAGGAATGATCATTATAGCGCACTTTCTTTCACAGAGAACGGATAATAGTACTGAGCTTTTCACTGTGTAGGCTAAAAAAGACGGGGACAAGCCAGGACTTGAAGCTATGTTACAAAAAGTTCTGCAATTGTATGCTTCCAGAGTGCTGTCAAAGCGGAGTTATGCAAAAAAAGGTCTGTTTATTGTTTAATTCCATTTGACTTAATTGTTAAGTAATGAACAAGATTTATTTGTTTTCTAGGCCATCGGAATACATCCTTTCTAACTGCAAAGTTGGAGTCACTGTGTTGGTTTGCTGGCATGTTCAATCTGAAAACAAGAATTTGTAGTTCTAATCCTTGCTTTGCTTTTGGTGCAGGAAATGAAGTGTTAAAAGCTGAACAGTTTCTTGAGAGCATTATCAAAGGTATCTCTCAGTTACAAGCTTATTATAAACCGGCATCGGTCCAAATTAGTTGAATTGTGAGACCACCTCATCTATAAGTTTTAGTTGCTAGAGACGGCACACTTATATCTGTTTAATCATGTCTTCAACACACTTATGCTAGAGAGGACATACTTATATGACGAGGCAGAGAGTCATGTAGATATTGAGATCTTTTAGCTCTCTGACTCTCTGCCTCGTCGTTTTAATTGTTTTATCTCTTGTGGGTGGAGTCATTCTGATTATCCCACATCAGATAATGGCCACCAACCTTGCAGTTTCTGAAGCTCATCCTAGTATTGGGTCTACTTTCTTAAGAGGCTGAGCTTGTATTGCACTTGCAGCAATGTATGTTGCAGTTTATATCACGAGGCCCTTAAATTCTAAAATGTTAATAAAATGAAGTATTCTTCCCTCTTGCATCAATTCACAATCTCACCAATCAATTGCACAGAGTGACAGCTGTCTTTCTCTAAGATGATCTTTTCCAATTTCAGCACCAAAGTCAGCTGATCACAACCCAAGTCTATAGTCTGGCACCCACGCCATTGGAACCACCCCACTAAAGAGTGCAGATTCAACTTCATGTCATCTCCATTTACCTCCATTCCTCTGATGAACCAACCGTCACGGACCTTGCAAATTTTCTGAAAATACCCAATCTGTCTCTGACCACATTTGTGAGTAAAATCTATTGGAGCAGCAGACTTGAACTGTTTGTCCGCTCCAGTTTGAGCCGGCAGTTCCAGAACTTTTTATTCCCATTGAATTGTTGAAATAAGGAAGAAATAGTGGTGTGCACTATGAATTTGGTATACTAGGTAAAGGTGATTGTCGCTATAGTAGCTTTAAAATCGGAGAGAGGAAAGGAGTTGTCTATTGTATTTTTATGCTCATGATGCTTTCTTGTCTTGTCTGTTTATTACGAAAAATTGGTTAAGCGAACAACTTTTCCAGCAAAAAGTTTTATCCCTGGTTATTTTAAGATTTACTATTCTAGCATTGCTTCTGCGCTAAAGGAGAAAGTGTTAGTTTTCTGGCTTTTAGGTTTTAGTAGTTGTCATGGATTCCCTTCCCAGTTTGCCATCAAAGGTGTTTTCAGACACTGATAAAGCCTCATAAATAATACGGAGCAAGAGAAAAAAAGACTGACATATGAGGCATAATAAGCAAATTATTTTGAGGACGGAAATGGATGATCTGCTGAGTAACCATACTCTTAGGTGGAGGTTTTTGGGTCTTTGTTAGTTAATGGAGTTCAGGTGGTGTAATAGGTTTGAGTTCATATACAAGGTCAATGTTTTACAGTAATTTACATCATGTAGCAAGTCAATGGTTGGGGGTGGGGGACTAATCCTCAGAGGGTACATCTCTTACTCTTCACACAAAGGTACCTGTAGTTTCAGATACCACAAGGGTAAAATTCATCCTTTTTGGGGGCATTAGAGCAATTAGACTCTCTAGAGCAATGAGTTTCTCAGTTAACATTGGAAATGGACATACATGACTTATCTCTCCTTATGGAGTGTGAGAAGGTTTTACTCGTCTCTATGATCCATTTACCAGCAGAGCAATTCATAAGTGACCTTAACCTTTATATTAATTTACTTCACAATTGCCTAAAATGTTTATTCATCTCTCACGAGATGCACTTACCCCTTTGATGCAGCACCAGAGGAAGAATGGAACAAGCTCTTGATAGATGGCATGACCATTGGAAAAGGTGATATTTCACCTGAGGAATTGTATGCTGTTATTAAGAAGAGAATGGAAAGGACTTTGATACGTACGGTACGGATACAATAGTTGATTTTTGCTCTGTGACATTCATCAAAGGATTGTTCATATGGCTTACTCTTTCTCTCTTTTTCTTTCTCAGGAGGGAGGTTCATACCAGCAGCGAGTTCTGATTGAGTATCTGAAAGGTATTGAGGCAAGAGCGGGGGAGATTGTCAAAGTACTCCAAGGTTGAGATATGGTAGTAAACTAGTAATTACACCTGGAGGCACCATAAGCCCGCATTATTTATATGAAAAGATGATGATATTCGTCTATATATCGTCATTTCTCTACCACGCATTACTGAGCAGCAAACTTTATGAAGCAATCTGAGATCCACAGTCGATCCCCTTGAGTTATGAGGTCTCTATCACGTTTCACATCTTCCATTTTTGTCCCATTGTTTCTATTATTTTTTTCTCCGCTCATGTCTAGTTTTTATCCAATTTCTCTTCTCCTGCCTCCTGTTTGGCCCCTTGTACATTCTCTAACCTGTAAGTATCCGGCATCGCAAGTTTTTCTGAGTGCAATAACACAATGTGGCAGTGCAGTTTGGCAATTTTAACTTGAATGCCGTTTGCATGGCCTACATTAATCTGTTGTAAACTGGTGGAACTGTACTCCATGTCCTCGATTAATGAAATCTATCAATTGGTTTTGATTTCATAGTTAATGATTGAGCTGGTGCCTTCACTGCAGCAAACTGCATGCTGTGGAACTGTTTAATATAGCTACCAGTAGATCAGTTATTTACGAAACTGCTTTCTCTATATTTTTTTGACTGCAAATGTATTTTCCTAAGGTGAGCAGCTCCGCAGTTGTAAGAGAGAGCTGCTTCTTTCCACATTGTTTTACCTGGGTGAATCATTCATGGAGTTACTATCTCTGCTGCCTTAAACTCAACTTGCATGTGTCGTGGTTGTATTTGCAGGTGAATCTTATTACCTTTTTATTTCCGAAGCATATGATAATTGGATTTAACTTATATATGTTGACAATGTGAAGAACTTTTGTGCTATCGGTGTAATTAACTAGGTTGCATGCATTATTTTTCAGGCTACTATTCTTCTCAATTATTATCTGTAGTTATCTAGAGTTACATTTAAGGTAAGCCCCCAGAGCTTGTTCAGCAGTGGCAGTCAGATATTTGTCATCTACCTTGTAAAGTTCTTCATCAAATTGAGCCAACTATAAGTTCACTTTGCCATTACATCTTTCTTCATGAGGTAGGGAGTCTGCATTGTTTATATCCCCTGTTCTCCAAGAAATCAAGAGCAAAATTAATTAAATCTTGATTAAGACGTAAACCAGCCTCTATCAGATAGTAACCTCTTTCTCCAGCAACCTTTGCACCATTTATTGAAATCTTTCCGCAAATTATCAAAAGCTCAAACGCCATTCTTTGCGGAGTCTTATGACCTGATCAACAAGATCGACATTGGCAAAAAGCCTACCTGATCAATAATTTCGGAATTTACGTAACGACGAAAAGTCAGGATCTTTGCAAAGAGCTTTATAAAGCTTTCGTCTCAATTCATATTTAGCCGCGAGCAATCTACGTTTGTGATTTCGTATATTTTACTTTTCCGACATCTTACGAGTTTTTCCCTCATCTTTTTGTAACCACCGATTTGATATGATCGGACATATTACCTTATTTTTTCTCATTTGCCTTTACTTATTATTGAATAATTATATTTTATCATTTGCCTTACTTTTTTATAAGGCCAAATACATAGACAGGCCCTTAAACTTGCTACTATTTTTTACTTAGACACTTTAACCGAATCTATTACCTATTAGACACTTTAACTGTGTATAAAATGTGCCAATCATTGTTGAATCAGAAAAGATAGATCTCATAGTTATCAACGAGATTCCTACTTTTTCTTCTTTGCTCTTTCAAACACGGAACGATGTATCAAAGATGTAAGCTTATTATTTACATTTGATGTCTTTCAATCATCCAAAGAAATGTTATACAAGCTTGGTCTCATTCGATTCTTATATTCAATATGATTAGATCTAAAGTTAATTATGTTGGGCTAGGATTTATCCTCTATTTTCTTCATTAATTAGTTAACTAAAAGGCTCAACACTTTTTGGTCAAACACATTCGTATGTAAGAGATCAGAACCCTCTTAACCAAAAGTAGCAACAATTTCTTCTATACCTACTGAAAGTATAAGGGGGGGGGGGGGGGGGAATTGTTGACTAATTAAAATTTGGTCGACTAATATAAGTATTAGTTGACTAACCACAAGACAGAAAGAGTGAAAGCAGTAAAAAGAAATGGTAAGTCACACACGATTTATACTGGTTCCGTACCGTTGTGGTACTTACATCCAGTTTCCCTTGGGTCACAAGGGTTCCCTTAAGATCTTTGAACAAAAGTTACAATATTGATGGCTTTTTCCCGTTTACCACCAACGTGCAGTATCGACACTTGAGTTCTAATCAGTTGATACAACTTTCTTTTGTACTCTAGATCTCTCTATCTTTTGAGACACTGATAACTCAGAATTACAATGTTTGAACTAAGAAGTAGACAGATTTGGAATACAGTTTGTGTAGTTGCGTGATTTTCTTCTTGAGAGATCAGTCCTCTTATAGAAGAGAAAAGAGCCGTTGAGTCCTTTTCAAAATTGGAGGCACAAGATCTTTAATTAAGGGATTTGACTCAAAGGGTGCCTCTTCGAATCTTGCTCTTTGACTGGCCAAGATTCGAATGTGACCTTCCTTGTCACAACTGAATTCAAGGAGAGATTAATTTGCAAGCACGATCTTCTAAAAAGGAGTGTCCATGATTGGCAATCTGATTTCCCTTGATTGAGGACGGGTCAATCTGCTTCTTGATTGATCATTAATGCAGTACGGAATCTTCATTCTTTCCTTATTTTGAATCCAGTAGCAATCTTGCTGAGCATCTTCATTCTTTCCTTTTTGTTTGTCCTGTAAATATAACATAAGATAATATTATCATCATTGAAACTTAAACTTAAACCTATCACCTACTTCCTTGCATGTATTTTAACTTTATTTGCAGTTGGAGCTAAATTATTCTTTATTGTGTTCCTCATTTTTGTTTGGAAACCCAGATCCTTCCTCCTTAAAAGATGGTTGTATCTCAGTGACTTCTTGACTTTTCGGTTGTTTGTATAACGGTCTTCGACAACTTTCTGTTGCTACATTGCAACTAAGACAAACCTCTTGATGACTGCGGGTGTCGTGCTAGTCCGTTGATCTGCCTAGTGACTCACCGTTGATGGCCGTGTTTGGATTTGTGAAACTCCATCCCTGTCTCTATCACCGACGACTTTGTAAAAAAAGTTCTCTTTGTCAAATTCCAAACCGGAGGCATAAGTTTGAACGTTTGTTAATGGAGAGTTTTAATCGTTAAAAAAAATGGAGAGTTCTAATCGGAGAAAAAAGAGAAAGTATGGGAAGAAAAAATTAAATAAATCAGAACAGCCATGTGTCCTCTTTTAGTTCGGTATTATTGCCACATCACCAAGTGTAAATGTCGCGCGCTTTATTCTTGTCAGAGATCTTCCGGGAGGTGTTCAATTGGCACATTTTATACACAAGTTAAAGTGTCTAATAGGTAATAGAAGTGTCTAAGTGAAAAATAGTAGCAAGTTTGAGGTATTTGGCCTTTTTATAATAACTTCACTAATTACTTGACCATTCAATCATACGGTAGTCTCAATCAAAATTAGAAGTTTCTTGGTTTAATTACTATACTGCAATTTTCTTGCACTTACTACTCCTATTGATTAGGTTTGCTTAAGTAATTAGTGAAGTTATTAATAACCTAAAAATAAAAAATAAAAGTAACTTTCTACAACATATTAAATTTACTGACTGGGTAAATATTTCTTGGAAAAAGAAGTTAAGCCTAATTTTTTTCCTTTCTCTCTTTTTCCTTCTCCATTATTGTCGGATCAACTACTCAACTTATTAACCCAAAACTTCAGAAGAGGGTTTCCTTTGTTTCACGTCTCGATTAAAACGGTACCGTTCCGGATATTCCATCCTATTATTTCGGACTTTCGGTGTATTCCCAGAGAAATTTGCAAAACAAAAAGATCAGAAAAAAGAAATGCACGATACAAGCAAACGACACGTAACGTAAACCAATAAAAATGCAGCAAAAAAACAGGTGGACCAAATTGCTTAGAACTGCTACGTCACCTAAACTGCTCTTCTTATAATTACTTGTAAGTTGTATTATCTCTTTCACAGAAAACTCCTCCATAAGTAAACTTCTAACACAAAAAAATCAGAGCCAATATGTTGAGAATCCTTAGCAAAAATCACGCAACACCAAAATCAACAGCAATGGTTACCAGATCTGAGTCCAAAATCGAAACTTACGATGTTATTGAAGATTTATCTTCGTGGGAATTTGTCAATCCATCGGATGATGAACAAGAAGACAGCTACTCCTTCAGTGATCATACTTCTGATGATGAAAGTGATGAATTGATGTCAAAGGAGGACGATCCATGTGAAATCGGGTCACCGTCTTCTCCTTCACATGTTCAAATCACTGGTTCATTGCTTGTTGATCCATGTGAAATCGGGTCACCGTCTTCTCCTTCACATGTTCAAATCACTGGTCCACTGCTTGTTTTTAATGTTAGGGTTGATGATGGTCATGAGGATGAAGATGAAGAGGAAGAGGAAGAAGAAGATTATGATGGATATGATTTGGATGATGAGTTAGTACCAAAATGGTTGAGTGATAAATTTGGGAGACAAAGGATAAGGAAATTAGGGAAAAGGGCTTGTTCTAGAATGAACAAATCAAAAAGAGGACCTTATATATTTAACAGGCCAGGTTGTGTTCATGGAAAACATGGACTTGGTGTACAGCATAGTTATGTCTAAAGTAAATATTGCAGTTTCAGTTTCAACAAGGATGAATAACTGGGAAGTTTTAGGGTTGTTTTATTTAACTGGAATTATGGCTGATTTGATCTGAATATAATCCTAATTTGTGTATTTAGGACTGGTTGGAATTAGGTTGTTTTTAATTTGGTAACTCTGTAGTTTGCTTTTTAAGCCTAGGTTGTTTACTTGGATTTGGATGTAAATATCTGAATATATCTAATGCATTTCAATTTCAAGATCCACTCTTTTCTCTTTTCTGTGTTGTGTTTATTGGCATATATCAACTATAAAGAACTACTTTTGTTCTTCATAATTTGCACTGCAATCTGAACTCTGAAGACTCTAAGTGTTATTGAGATTCTGTTTTTGCAAATTGCAAGGACTTTGAAAAAGAATTGAACACCATAATTTGATTTCTCCTGTTAAGTAAATCCTGAGTGACAATGTTGTCATGCTATGAAATAAGACACAAAATGAAGACAGATAGCACTTATCATTTTATATTAAGTTGGTGATGCTTTGTGATATGTGGTGATACTAATATTGTTTTCTTTTGTCTTTTTGTTATCCTCGCCAAATCCTACTAATGGTTTGTTGTTGTTGTTGGTGATGCTTTGTGAGGCTGCAATGATTGGGAATAAGAACTTTGTGTACCTTTATCTTTCCTTTTGACAGAGATCTTTTTTAAAAAAAAAAATGCATTTAGGTTTGGTTGACTTTTGACGAGCAAAGGTGATACGATCTTGGTTAAAATCTATGTTGTTCGTACTCTCCGAAAATATCTCCGGGTGCGTGTTGGATCCTCCAAAAGTAGTGTATTTTTGGAGGATCCGAACCGAAACGGGTGCGGCAGCATTTTGGAGAGTCCGCGCAACGTAGGTTAAAATGGGAAAATTTTCTAGCAGTTCTAGCTCCCTTTTGATTATCATGAAATCGTTGAATAGAACATGTCACCATGGTCCCTGTATTACTGCAAATTTTGGTGTTCGGTTCAATTTGCACACATCTCAGCAGTAGTATTTGATATTTGTTGCCTCCGGTGCAAGTATTGAGTAATTCTGCTTTTATGTCCAAGGATTTGAACCACATAAGTTTTTATCCACTATTGACGGTCTAAGCCACACCCCTTGGGTGTTAAAGTAGGTTCTGTGTTCTAACTGAACGGTAGTCTCGCATTTACAAAGTTGTGGTCTCGGTATCTTAATATATGCACTTAATTTTTCTATAACAATCATCATCTATAGCAGCAGTTCCAATAGTAATAAACAAGGTTATTGTAAAGAGGTTTAACTGTCAATAATACAACTATACATACATATACAAGGTCCCAATTAGGATTATGACTATCTCTTGTTTCGTAGAAATAAGTGGTTCACGAGAAATCAAAAAAATATTATATTTGATCTCTAGTTCCGTACATAGCAGTTTTGGGTGGGTTATTACTTGTAGAAATGAGTGGATTATTACTTACAGGAATGATATAATGCTAATCCTTGTTCCACATGGCCAAGAAAGCTAGGTTTTCGCTCTTTGTACACTCTAATTACGCACCTGCTCTGACGCATGAATATATGCAGCCAACTTTAGATAAGTCAATGATATGAATGTGTGTTTCATATCAAACGCTATATCCTCTAGCCAAACGGGCTAGCCATTTTTTAGATTGGTTTTTAAAAATAGCATAGCCATTTTTGATGCAGAAACATTAAGATAGTGTCATGGATTTCGACCTTAAAAATATGTGAAAATTTCAGGATACTATCATGAATTCTAGCATAGTAGGCTATTTTCTAATGACTTTTGAATAGAGGAAAAAACACATGTAGACAAAATTTAAGAAATATTTTCAAAAACGTAGCAGCAATTGGCATTTTACTAACATGGCAGCTAAATAAATACATATCTTATCTGACAGCTATAAATATTGATCAATAATCACGTTTAAGAAAAATATCCAAAGAATTTCTTCCCTAAAAAAGCGCCAAAGTGATTCAGTTTTTAAAAATAAACAATAGTCCTAAAAAAAAAAAAGCAAATATAACTAGAAATGTATGTGAGGATAATTTTCATCCAAAAATAACTCCCAGTCCTCCCTCCCTGTAGGCATAGTATACCCTTTTTCAGCGAAATTCTTGTCACAAAAAGAATTTAATTCAATAAAACTATTTAATATTATTTGCAATATATTATATTTAAAAATTTATTTACTGTATATTTATACATAAGGAATAACAATGGTATACATAAGCATATAAGTATTAAACTTGTTACTACTTATAATATTAAATAATAAATAACATATACATCATATATAAAAATATATATTTTATATTTTAAATATACATAAAATATATTCAGATTTTCTAAAATATACATAAATTATACATTAAATATATAATACATACACAGAATATATACAGAATTATATATTATTTAATAATGATACATCAAACATATACTATATAAATAAAAAGACATGATGTATTTTTGTTTGAGAGAATAATGGAAATGTGATTTTAAGACCAACTATTTATTTGGAAAAAGAAATTCATAGACAAACGGTAAGTTTAGAAAAGTTCAAATTAAAGAATTGAGAGAGAAGTGGATAGATTAATTTGGCTCAAAACTAATCCCTTAAATTGTGGTTCAGTGTTTAAACGTTTAAGAAATTGATGGTCATTAACTAAGGTAAGGGATCTTTGAAAATGCTACAACTGTAAATTGAATGTGCTTTTTTTGGAATAAAACAGAAGTACTATTATTTGTATAAATATTTTTTAATAAGAGTCCTACCATGTAAAAATCTCTTTTGAGAATATGTGGCTTTTTTTCAGTTACAAGTCCGGAAAAATGACTATTTCTTAGCTTTACCCCATAGATCTGTCATGGTGTCCTTCTCAGCCTCAACGATTGGGCTTGCTAAGGGCTGACTCCATTAGATATAGGGGTATTAATTATCTTTTAGCCCGCTCATAATTTATATTCGATAGCCAAAAAAGTGTATAAAATATGTATAATTTAGTATATTTACTATATATATATATATATATATATATATATATATATATATGAATTCAAAAAATATATTTTTTGGTTATTATTTCGAAAGAGGTTATACAATATCATTTTCCGTTAGAGAGGTATATGCTGATCTGCCGTTAAACTACCACAAAAAATGCAAGCACTCCTATTTTTATGGTTGGGCTTTGTTCTTCTTCCCACTGATGAAGATCTTCTATTTGTTCCCCAAAATTTCATTATGAGTGGTTAGCATATCAATTGAGAGGTCAAATACTTTAGGACTAAAATAGAACCCACTTCTAATTCTTTTGTGCTTAAAGAAGACGTAAATTATAACAAATATATCAAATTTATCATTGTGGATTACTCTTACAACATAGATTTAAAAATAAATAATAAATGTTTACATAAAATTAATAATAGTACCTACTGTCTGCGGTCCAAAATAAGTAATTTTTTGGTTGTTTTCACACATATTAAGAAATTCGCTTTTTAACATTAATTAGCAATGAAATTGACCATATTAATATTTACTATCTCTTCACATAAACACTCCTAACACATACTCCAGCATTATTTGCTCCAACGACAATGTAGGAAAAAAATAATTTATTTATTCTTGAAATCTGGAAAAATCACTTATTTTGGACCACAAAAAAAGGCCAAAAAATCACTTATTATGGACCGGAGGGAGTACATAGTAAGGAAATAGTATATAAAGGAAAGTAATATTCTTTATAAACTCTGGAAGAGCTGTGTTACTAGTGTAAGATATTGAAATCCAGATAACGGTAAATGTATTGGAAGATATGTTACCATTTGGCCATAGATTTTGGGTATTTTTAAAATTAAAAAAAAAATAAAAACAGTGTTTGTTCATGGAATACGATTAGCTTTCGAAAAAAAATTTGAAAAAAAGTTTCAAGTTCCCAAAAACTGGTTTAGGGCAGTTTTTGAGTGAAATTTTTTCTTCCACTCACAAAACTTCAACTTTTTTCAAATAAAATGCATGTCCAAACGCAACTTCAACTTCCCAAAATTATTTTTCAACACAATTTCAAACTATTCTTTTTTCAAATTTTAATTAAATTTATGTCCAAACGTTAGCGTCGAAAAGCATCATTTTTTCCCAATAGAGGGGGGAAGAAAACAATTAATGAGGTTATTATGAAAAGGATTTTGTCCTCGGAGACAGACAACTCGTACTCATGATATGATGATAGATAATAGCATATAATATAATGTAACTATTCTGAAGGATTGAAATACCCTCAAGAACAATTTAGGCACAAGCAAGAAATTTAGCAAAAGCTATATAAAAGAAATTTATTAAACTAGGGAGAGAACTTGGTAGGAGGGTTCCTCACAACTCATAAACTCTTGAATCTCTCTACAAGAAAAAACAAGTAGTAGCACCCCTATTTATAATACTACAAAACCAAAAACATATTCCAATATAAAATTGGTAAACAAAACCTAACTAGACATGAATTAAATAAACTACCAAATATCAAATCCTAGACAACTTAGAAATACTAATTAATCTTAATTTAGTTTCCAACAGCTTCCCTTAAACCAAGATCTTCAAATTTGATCATGCCCAACATCTTCTTCAACTTGATGAATAACTCCAATTTTAGTGGCTTTGTGAAAACATCAGCAACTTGCCACATCAACAACTTGCTCTCCAGTCTTGCAATACTCAATAACTATCTCTTTGTCTTGAACCAAGTCACGAATAAAGTAAAATTTGTTATCAATGTGTTTGCTACGCCCATGAAAAACTGCATTCTTTGTTAACTCAATTGCAGACTTGCTATCACAAAAAATTGTTGTAGGACTGTCTTGCTTGTATTGAAGAAATCCAAGCATTCTTCGTAGCCACAATGCTTGTGTAGCACTACTTGTTGCGGCCATGTACTCTGCTTCAGCTGTTGATAAAGCAACAACTTGTTTCTTTTTGGAAGACCAAGAAAATACACCAGAACCCAAATAAAATGCATAGCCAGAAGTACTTTTTCTTTGTATTGTATCACCAGCCAAATCACTGTCTGTAAATCCCACAAGACTACTATCATTAGTCTTTGAATAAAATATACCATCAGTTTGCGTACCTTGAATATATCTCAAAATTCTCTTTGCTGCTTGCAAGTGGGATTGTCGTGGAGTCTCCATAAATCTGCTAATTAATCCAACTGCATAAGTAATATCAGGCCTTGTAGAAGTCAAGT